TGGTCTATATTCACACTAAATGAGAGTGAATTTTTTTTTTTACTTGTTAAACTTATTCAGTGTAATATTAAGACTTTTTGTTGCAATACCAATATAGAATATGTTCTTAGAAAGAAGAAATAAAATGAGAAGAAAGATGGAAGAAATGTAGAGAGGGTTGGAAGAGAGGTCAGAAGGGAATATTATGTTTGTAGAATTGTGTCTTTAAATCATATTGAATCTTTTTAAATTAAAATCAAAATTGAAATTGAAATGTCAAAAGATAATGAAACAAACAAAAAGAAGCAAAACAGTTATGTATGAATGAAAAATGTTTATGTGTGCACACAGAATAAAATATACTCATCAGAAATTTATGTCTCTATCCTGGTGTAATGGTTTGGTGGCTATACCCTCACCTTGCATGCATCAGGATCCCATATGTGCGCAGGCTAATCCACTTCCCATCCAGCTCCCTGTGTGTGGCCTGGGAAAGCAGTCGAGGATGGCCAAAATCCTTGGGACCCTGCACAAGCGAGGGACCTGGAGGAGGCTCAATGCATCAGATTGGCACAGCTCCAGACGTAGTGGCCATTCCGGGAATGAAGCAGCAGAGAGAAGATCTTCTTTCTGTATCTCCTTCTCTCTGTAAATCCGTCTTTCCAATAAGAAAATAAATAAATTTTAAAAATAAATCAATAATTTATTTCTTATTCTCAGACCCCCTTCTGACCTTGAGACTCACATTTAAGTACATGATTAAAATCTCCATCTAGAGAAGTAAAAGGTGATGCATGAGTTAGATATTTTATTATTCTTATTATTTACATTACTGATTTTAAACTGTTACTTTAACAGAACACATTTCATGTGTTTCATATTTAGTTTTCAAGATGTAAAAATACTTCTCACAACATCCTTTCCTCCTTCACTCACTTCACCCCCTCCCTTCTCCTTTTTTTTAAATTTTACATTGACAGAATTTTAACTTAGTTGATAATCATAAACTAACACTAAGCTAAATAAAGAATTCAACAAATACTAAGCAGTTCTTCAAGAGTATAGAGAGAAGCTGTCAACAGATTTCTGTAACTATAATGAAATATCAGAGGCAAATAACTTTACAAAGAGAAAACATTTATGTGACTCACCTTTGGGTGTTCAAGTTCAAGATGAAACAAGTCAATGGTTTAGAATCTGGTGAGAATGGTGAAGAGCAATGATAAATGATAAAGTGTATGCTAACGAACCATCACATGGAACATCAGTATGTACAGTAAGAGGTTGTGTCCAATTTGAATCATTTTTTTAAGATTTATTTATTCTTATTGGAAATGTGGTTTTACACAGAGAAGGACAAAGAAAAATTTCCCATCCACTGGTTCACTCCCCAAGTGGCTGAAACTGCCAGTTAGCCATATTAACATATCACACACAATTTTGTAAATGAACAAACGGAAAGGGACAGGCAAGTCACCAGGACCAAAGTCTTTTAACTTCGGTCTGCTCTTACATGATGGTTAATATCCTTAACGCCCCTCACTATTAAGTGAAAGTAAAAGGTACGGATTGATTTGCCTCCCACTAATGCAAAGCTTTGTATAATCAAGTACTTATTTACATTTTCAAACTGATTATCGATTCCTTTCCTCTTGCTACTTTACTCTATATTCCATGAATTATCCACATTCACTTTATACAGCTTTTTCTTTTTGTTAGAAAATCTATGCTTTTTATCTAACCTAGAATACTTCTTTATAGTTTTGTCATGCATTTGGTCACCTTGTGTTTTGAATCTCAAAGAATGCCTAACACATAGTACATGCTGCTAAATAAATTAATGAACTAACATAAAAATAAACTAATTTTTCCTGATATAATGGTGTCTACATTTCCTGAAATTTATCTTCAGATTTTGAGTTTTGCATGAAAATCGGCAGTGCTGGTGAATATTTATTTAAAAGTTTAACTTTGAAAAATAGTTGGCAATATTATCATGTTAATTAGTCACTTAGAAAGTGCACATTTTTGATTGATATCTATCAATTGATATCTATCTCCTATACCTTCCCAAAGTAGGCACCAAACATTATCTCCACTGACCAGAATATTGACAGGTAAGAACAGCACAAACGTTGAAGTCGCTGGGAGAAAAGTAAAACCTACAAAAGCCTAGAGAAGACAGGCAAAAATACTAGAGCAGAAATGAGTTTGTAACATGACCTTAATCAGAGAGACATGTTAAATATAATCCAGAAACTTATTTACTAAAAGCGATTTATTGCAGCATTATTTAAAAATACAGATTGAATCCAATAAATCTGGCCACCAGGATCCAACAATTAAAAATAATTAGAAATTCAAATAACTTTGTTACAAAATGAAGATTTTTTATCTATTATCTTGCTGCAATTAATACATTAAATGAACTTGTCTATACTCTCCTACTGTGATCTGCTTAAGAGTTTTTTAGACATTTACATAGAAATAAAATCTAATTGAAAGACGCAAACTAATTTATAAATAATAAAACAACTTAAACATCAAGGAAAGATCTTTATGTTAAGTAGATAGTATCTTAAGCATTGTTGATGTGCCACTATTCTGAGATAATTTTATTTTATTTTGAAGGTCTGGTTAGTTTTTCACTTGATACTTTAAAACAACATAATCTGAGTCAATGTCAATTAAAATGGTGAATTCTATTCTATCTTCCAGAATATTTGATTATGACTGCCAATAGACACATTGTTATTTTCTAGTATTTCAGGCATGAATAATATGTATGAATTTTAATTTAGCATTCACCCAGAGAACCCCAGGAGAATATGAGCAATAAGAATATTTACTGAGTTATTTTTAAAGTTAAAACTGGAAAATTACACGTTGAGGAAATGAAATAAAAGGTTTAGGACATTTGCCTTAAAATGTAATTTATATTTGGCTACTATGATTTTTACATAAAAGCTCAAGTTATGTCCATTCACCATTATTCACAGATTACTTCATTATTTTGTTCACACACACACACACACACACAAACAGGCAATTGATTTTTCTGATGGTAAAATAGATTTCTGCCATAGAATTCTTGTTGTTATTTGTATTGCCCAAACTACATAAAACTAAGAAAAATAACTACTTTGGAAAAGTTTCACTCAAAACTGTATAGTTGTTATCCTGTTTCTGGTGGAATAATAATAAAGAAATGTCAGAGAGGATATTTTATTAAAAGTTCATATAAAAGTGAAATAAGGAGCAACAGCAGGAGCAAAAAACCAAACCTTAGTCCCCAGTTACTGTGTAGCTGCAGGACAGGTGCAGAATAGAATTTTGTAGGCTGAGAGTAGATGTTCTCTCTTTTAGCCATTATAAATCACACTACTCAGAAACTGCCCTATCATTCCTGACATTTGCACACACTGGTGAAAAGTAAGTTTTCAACCTAGGATAGCTTTAAATTTGCAATTGAGTACTAAATAATGGAATAGTATTATTCAAAATCAATATTTATTTTTTTCATGAAGAGGCACGTTACAGTTACAGATAAAGCTATGAGACCTAGAAAGCTGCATGTTACCAATATACAAACACTTTCAAAGCTCCACACTGCAGAACATACTGAATGAAACACATTATTCCAGGTGAGCGAACCATGCAGACGTGTGGATTTATTGGGGTTTGCTTTGAAATGCAATTTGTACAGTGAGCTTTTTATTCCCTTGATGGCAATGAAACAGATTTACTGGCTACACGTTGGAAGTGCAATAGATAACAGATAACCAAGGGAGAAGTTTTAATAAAACAGTCAGGAAAGCAAAAGTGATTGAATATGCCTGTTTACATTTAAGCTAATAAATAAAAGTACAGATAGGGCCTTAACTACAAACTATTGTGGTTATTGCAGCCTGAAATGTTTATTGGAAACTGGGTGGAATACTCTGGTTTTTCATATTTACACTTGTGATGTGAGCCATACCAGTTGGAATGATGTAATACACTTTTCGATGTTGGTACAGGAAGACAATGTTTTCTCAGGAAATTCACAGTGGCCATGAAGGGGAAGGGTGGTTGCTGACTGTTATTGTCTCCAAGCTACTTCTGATTGTGCTATTGGGTTCTGGAGACTGAACTATAAAATATTTAATTTCCCCAGTCAGTCCCTGAATAAAGACCCGGAACACTTTTAAAGGAGCAGAAGTTATATTTTTTGATAAGCGCAAGTCTTTCATTGCAAAATGATGAGAAGAACTGAGTTCCTTAAGGGTACTTGAGAATTTGGTTTTGTAGCATTCCAGTTAGCTATTCAATTACATTTAACAGGCCAGTCCTATGACACTGGATGTTAAGAAGCCCAGTCACAGATTCCTCACCCTGTCTGCTTGCAGGCAAGTAGATCCACAGACTCACAGAAGAAATTAACTCCCCATTTTACCTTCAAGATAGGAAGAAAAATAGAGTTTTCATGCCCATTCTTTACCTATTTAGAATTCAGTGTTCTCTCTTAAGTGTCTTTCTTTGGAGAACAATGAATCACCACCTACTCTTGTGGCCAATATCCTTTAAAATAGAAACTAAGTAGTCAGGTAAGAAAATCTACATGAAATACCAATAACCAATGTAAAAACAATTTTCTAGTAAAACAGAGCCAAACTTGTTCTCCTATACATTTGAACAACTGACTCCTTGAATCAACTGCAGATTTGGAAAGCACCAAGACCCCAGATCTGATTTCAGTGGGTTCAGACACAATTCAGAATGGTGACCGAGTAACTTAGTAATCAGGAATTTACATCAACAAAATTGGTTATTAATATGCAAAAGCTTTGTAGACTATGAATAATCCATGTCGGCTTGCCAAGTCTAAAACAGTGCTGTAAATTCATGTAATTAAGCAAAATACGTAAGTGCATTGGCCCAGCTCCAACACTTTCAATCCATTACTGAATAAGGATTTCATGAAACATTCCATCTAATTTTCAGTTATGTGAACACTTGAAGGATCCTTTTTTTTTTTTTTACTTTGAACTGTCTAACTCTGCTAATGAATATCTTTTTGAATGGTTCATATACAAGTCTCAGGTCATTCTTGGGAGGATTTGCTTTTGTTGAGGACTTATGGGAAGAAAACAATTTGAAATTTGGCTACAAGCTATATATTGTCTCTTGCTGGCATATTACAATAAGCTTCTGAGTAATTTTTCCAAGACAGGTGTGAAATGAGTTGGTGTACCTTAGAAAATGTATCAAAACACTTCATGTCTTACTTTCTAAAGCACCTGTATTTTTTTGGCACAGTTTTGGACACAGATAATTATCATCTACATAGGTAAGTATATCACCTGGGGAAAATGATTAAGTATTTGCTCTTTTCCCAAAACTCATATTTTTCTTTTGTATTATAATCAACTAAGACACAATGTACATAAGAAATTTTGCTGTTTGTTTTTAACACACAAGATACTTTCATAAACAAAGATGGAAAGTTATTTTGTGATTGAAGCTATAACAAAAATGATTCATCTTTTGAAATATAAAAGAAACACATATTTGATATTCCTCTTATTTTGTCATAAGAGTAAGATTGGAAATGTCCATTTATATGCCCCGGTGTTTCTGATTATATATATTGAAGTCATTTGACTTATTTACATCTAGATATGGAGATATATATCATAAATATATATGATGTATATATCTCCTCTTGTACTATCGTTAAATGCAGTCCTATATTCTTGGATATAAAGATTGATGACATACCCTTTCTATGTGCTATGATGCTAATTAAGCTAGGTTGAAACTCAGCAACCACTTGTATTTATTGCAATGTAGGCTAGTATTATGTTCAGTTGCTGGTGGGAAAAGGGTCTCTTGCTGCCTCCTGCTTAACCTAAATGCTCTCGCATGCTTAATGTAAGTGTGTGCACAATCGTTTATCGAGGTGGTCTTGAGCTGCAGATACAGTCACACCGTTCATGATGATCCAACTGGATGTCAACAAGAGCCATATTCTTTGCTCTGTTCCTCCTCTTGAAATGGCCAGGCTCAAACTTTAATACCTACAACAAGAAGTATATTACCTGTTAGAATTTACTTCAGCCAGGTGTTACTTTATCCTATTTAACAACAACTACTTAACCTTTTGAGAATCCATGTGTAGCTATGGACTTACTTTAAAATGCACACAAATGAATAATTTCACAAACTCCTTGGATTGAAGGAGTCTACAGATCCCAGAGGTATGCACCTGCCATACAGGGATGATGCTCATGCATACTTCAGTATTTTATTTTTTAAAATATTTATTTATTTTTATTGAAAGGTAGATTTACACAGAGAAGGAGATACAGAGAAAAAGATCTTCCATCCACTGGTTCACTACCCAAGTGGCTGCAGTGGCCAAAGCTGAGCTGATCCAAAGCCAGGAGCCAGGAATTTCTTCCAGGTTTCCCATGTGGGTGCAAGGTCCCAAGGCTTTGGGCCATCCTCTACTGCTTTCCCAGGAAACAGGCAGGGAGCTATATGGGAAGTGGAGCATCCGGGGCATGAATTGGCTCCCATATGGGATTTCAGCATTTGTAAGTGGAAGATTTAGCCACCAGGCCATTGCACTGGGCCCACCTCAATATTTTTTAATAGTTTTTACAGACTTGCTTTGTTATAGATGCCATCCCAAATACTATATTTTTCTGGCCAAAGTGTAAACTCTAGATAAACAGAATATTGAGCTTATTTTTTTCTGCAGACAGGATAATACATAAACTTATGGAAGTGAAATACCAGAAATGAGTGCTTTGTTGAAGTAAGATATTTTGCCTTAAGAAGATGATTTGTGATTTCAACAGAAGAAAGGATGTTTCCATTCTTCCATATTTGTTAAGATACAAGACCATTTATATTCAAAACAGATCAAGCACTAGACATATTTTATTGTGTAGGGCCAGGCATCGATACAGCACTTATTAAATAAGTGTATCCTTCATTTTTGAAGCATTGTAAAATTTTCTTTAAACAAGGTTTTGCTGTATCTATCTGAAAGCCAGAGACATGCAGAACTCTCCCACCTGCAGGCTTGGTTCCCAAATACCCACAACTGCTCAACTGTGGCCAAACTGAAACCAGAAACTGGGAATTCAGTTAAGACCAATGTGGTGGCAGGGATCCAAGTCTCTAAGCCATCAAGGTTTCCTTGAAGATGTGCAATAGCAGGAAGTGGAGCTGCCACTGGATCCCATGCAGTCCAATATAGACCCAGATACCCCAAGCAGTGTGTTCATCCCTGGACCTTTACTATGACTACTACTAGTAACAATAATAAAGGTATAATTTTCTTTTTTAAATTTAATGTATAAACTATGTGAAATGCTTTCGTTAAGGATGTGTCTATTTTTATTGGAAAGGCAGATTTACAGATAGAAGGATAGATCAAAAGATCTTTCATTCACTGGTCACATCCCAAATGGTCACAACAGCCAGATCTGAGCCAAGATGAAGCCAGGAGTCAAGAGCTTCTTCTTGGTTTCCTACATGGGTACAGGGACCCACGGCTTTGGGCCATTCTTTGTTGCTGTCCCAGGCCACAAAAGGGAAGCTGGATGGAAAGTTCAGCATCTGGGACACAAATGCTGGTGTTTGCATTATGGGATGCTGGTGTTTGCATGCAAAGGATTAACCAGTTGAGTCATCACACCAGCTCCTAAGTATAATTTCTTAATTCAGTAATTTAAGTAGAGTGAACTTCTTTTTTATCCTTCTATAAACAGTAAGTAACCAAAACAATGGTTAATATTTTTTTTGACTATCAAATAGCCTCACTCATGAGGGAAATGAAAATCCAGCTTTGTGCCATATTTGGTAACTATGTCCTGGAAGAGATTGGGGATTGGGCACCTACAGCTTTGCCAAGAATTTCTTGAGTGTGGTTTAGCTGTGAGCTCTCCAAGACTGTCTGAATACCACATTAGAGGAGTGGGGGGATGTATGTGAAGAAAGTGATTTCTAGCAAGGTGAGCATAATATTATTTAATCAGGGCCTAATATTGTGCAATGACCAGCACCTGTAAAGTCAGCTCTCTGCTGACTCGCTTTCTCATCTGATACCAAACAAAAGTGAGTACTTTGGGATGAGAGCACACGACTGGGCAGCTTTTCTAACTGGTCTTCTGATTGTCCGGGGATTTTTCTTGTGTTTTATATTAAGCAACACAAGTGCAGTATATATGTGTTCTGCTGATAAGAAGAGAAAAATGAATTGGCAGACACTTTTTCCAGACAAGACAGGAAAGCACTGTTTGAACAAAGTGGAAATTGGACTGCTTTACTGGCTGATCACAGCACTGATGTTCAAAGCCTTCAGACCATGTAATAGTCTTAGGTTTAGGTACACAGCATTGAGAGGAGGAAGAAAGCAAGGATGATTTGAAGGAGTGGGCAAAGCTAAAAGAAAAATGAAAAGCCCTTATCAGAAATGCAACCTGGCCAGTTCTGGGTTATCCACCTTTAAAAGCGAGGAACTATTAAATTAATTGTAGCAGTGGAAAGAGATTGCTAATAGGCACTGCCACAAAACACTTCCCTATTTTCCAAGCTATGATTCACAGCTGCAAGCACATGCACAAAAATAAAATCTACTGAGGGGCAGCCAGCTATTTCTTAGAACCTTTGGGATAAAATTGAACTCTTGACTCTGCTCTAGCCCCTGGAAAATCCCATGAAGCCAGGAAAGTTTGACAGCTACTAACTGGAGAGTGACTGAGCCAGTTGGTGGCTTTTACCCCGCAACACAAAATCAAGGATGCTCTGTTTCATAAATTTCCACATTACAGAAGATATTTAACTATAGTTACTTGCTTTGTTGCCAATAAACTACTGAATGAATCATCACTATAAAACCATTACATTAATAAAGCAATACCTAGCAGAAAAGATGTATCTGCTGAATCGGGTTCTTTGTTGGAAAAAACAAAAACAAAAACTCGTTAAGTCCTTGTAATGATTCTGAAATTAATGGCTGATGCAGGAACACAGGTACATATTTCAAGAAAAAAGATGTATAAACTTAAAACATTGAGAATTTGTTTTAAGATCTCTATAACTTGTACGGAAAATTGTAATCAACACAGTTTCTTGGAAAACAAACAAAAATAAAAACAATTTTTGCCCCTTTTAACATCTCTCATGCATACAGTCTATGAAAAAGAAATATAAACTTAAGGAATCATGATGAACTATTCTGAAACCTAAGTGATGATAAGTAAAACTATTTTTGAGAAGGCATAATATTTTCTTCCTATAAAATTAATCAACCTGCAGGCAATAATTGCAATAGAGGTCAAGAGTTATAACAGGAATGCTTTATCCAAATCACAAGACTCAGTACTAAATTTAAGAAAAAATAGTTTTGTTTTACAGACAGAAAGGAAGGGATAGAGAGAGGGAAATCTTCCATCTGCTGGTTTACTCCCATGATGACTTGATGGCCAAAGCTGGGCCAGTCGAAGCCAGCGGTTTCATCTGGGTTTTTCACATGGTTGGCAGAGGCACAAAAATGTGGTCTATCTTCTGCTGCTTTCCAAAGCCATTAGCAGAGAGCAGGATAAGAATTAGAGTGAGGGTCTGGCATGGTAGCTTGTGGATAAAAGTCTTTGTCTTGCATGAACCTGATCCCATATGGGTGCTGCTTCTAATCCTGACAGCCCTGCTTCTCATCCAGCTCCCTGCTTTTAGCCTGGGAAAGCAGCTGAGAAGTGCCCAAAGCCTTGGGACCCTGCGCCTGCGTGGGAGACCTGAAAGAGGCTTCTGGCTCCTGGCTTCAGACTGGCTGATATCCAGCTGTTGTGGCCACTTAGGGAGTGAATCAATGGATGGAAGATCTTCCTCTCTCTGTCTCTTGTTCTCTGTATATCTGATTTTCCAACAAAAATAAAGTAAATCTTTTTTTTTAAAGAATTAGAGCAAGTAGGATCAGAAGTAGAGCAAGCAGGACTTGAAGCCAAGCCCATATGGGATGCCAGTATCAGCATCTGAACCTGCTATGCTACAATTCCAACTCCAGATACCAACTTGCAGTAGGAGTTGTCCATGAGGCCTCTAGAGTTATGATTAGATGTATTTAGCTGCAGTTCTGCTTTACGCATCTAAATAGTTAAGTGGGTTTGACAGTTAGAGGATTAGTAACTTCTTGTTCAGACCATCATCGCAGGAAACATAATGGAAACCTTGTGTGTTCTAAACTTCAGAGCACAACATTGGCATTGGACGTTACTCACAACACCAGGGGGTTGTCTGCTTGGCGGTATCTTACTGTATGGTAAGTTTGTCAAGCTTTGGCAAGAAGGTTTGACATGAATTTAGACTGAGAAAGGAAAGAAAGTGCACATTTTTAAAAATGAAACTGCAGTCATGTAAACATAAGTCCTCATTGTTGAAAGGCTGGCAGAATTGAGAGGGGCTAGACAATGATCTCAAATAACCCTGCACCTACCTCTCTTGTGCTTTATCGCCTTCAGATGCAATCAGACACACAGGCCCATGTAAGTAGCACTGGTGTTACCACTAGCATTGTCCAGTGAATTAGCTCCTTATAAAATAGGCTATAAATGCTAACTGTTCTAGTTCATATCTTTCTTTCATTTATGTCCATTTTTTCGCTTTTATCCAGTATCTCAAGAAACTTTTTCATAATTGTTACATATTGTCTGTAGGATCAGATTTGTAAATTTTGTAGACTTTGTGTTTTCTGGAACTATATCTTAAAATGTCACACAAAATACCCTTCTATATCCAATGAGGAGGGCCAAGACACTATTCCAAAATATTCCAATGTGAAGGAATTTGGAAAAGTGGTAGTAGCAGGAATCCACTCTCATCTTCCCTTCCTGCCTCTCTCATTGTTAAGTCATACAGCTCAGCACGGATGTTCTGACTTCCCATGGTTCAACTCAGAGGCCTGCACGTAAGGGATGATGTGTCTACATCCAGACAAGAGGAGCACTTTGACTGACAGGGGGCAGAGAAGAAATTGACAAATAGGCTCTGCTGAGATTTTCCCAATTTATTACCATTAGGTTGATACCTATGGCCCCAAGACTATTAACCCCTCATCAAATCTATTATTTAAATATTCCAGTTAAAAAGGTTCCTCTGCCATGTTAAAATCAAATAAACTTGCATACTTCTCTCCTGCAATTTATCTTTTTGCTATGGAGGCCTCAGCTACGAACCTCAGATAGATACAGCAGTTACGTTTCCTCTTTTATAATCACATATTCCAAGATGTACAGAATGGCTACTAGAAGTGAGGTAGAATACAGTAACAGGTAGCGACAGATCTTCTACAGAAGAGGGATGGTCGTATCTTAGTGTACTGTGAGGACCACTCAAACCCCTGCACGAGTGGTAACATGGACTGTGAAAGAATAATGACAGTAGCTTCATTAGGGGTTTTCTAATTTCACAGACTTTAATTCCTAGATAATGAGCATTGAAATATTCATGGAGAATCACATAGACCTATTAGGTGATGAGTTCCTCTTTCCCCTTCCCCTCCCCCACCCCGTTAAATGGTGTTCATTTCTCAGAAAAATACATTTCATATCAGTAGCAATCAGGAACTGGGAAAATTGCTTTCTTCATTTCTCCAAGCTAAGAATGCAGTCACACAATTAACATGTGGATGCTTCGAAAAGTTCAGAGAAATGGAATTTTATGGTGCAAGAAATATTTTTTTCAAGGCTATGCATATGATGGGTCCTCCAAGGCTCAAGGAAAATGTGCATTATGAAAACACTGTGCGGAGGAAGTAGCCTTAGCAAGCAAAGAGCTCAAGCTTTTTCCCTAATGAGACAAGCCTTGCTTCAAGAAGTGGGACAAGCCTTCTGCTGTTTTCCACTGGGCACTTGACAGTGATATTTGTGACACTTTTCAAGGGCGTGTTAGAAAGCTGGGAGAATCTGACAGTAGTATTTCCTCCAGGTATGCAGTTACTGGGTGATTGACACGGTTTTGTCTATTTGGCATTTCACAGTGAACTCCACAGAAATAAAAATATTATGACACATGTCTTAAAGAGATGCTTTAGAGTGCATTTTCAAAAGGACACTAACATTTTATACCTACTCATTACTGAATGGGGAGGTTCAGGGTTTTCCTCTCTGGGTATTGTGAACAGAAACATACAGGTAACCGTTATTACGTACAGAGAAAGAGACCGAGGGAAGAGTTCTCGCAAGTTCTTAAGTGTTAACAATCCTTCTGAGAGCATGATTAATTCTGCTGTCTCCACAATAAGCAATTTTCAAAAAAAAAAAAAGTGAAATTTCTATCTGAACAGAGTCAAGATGAAAATAAAGCACTCCACAAAGATATCAAAGGCTTGGACTTGATTGTTCTTTCTTACAGTTATTCCTAAGTAGAGATCTTGTCACAGCCTAGAGTATTTCATTTCTCACCCAATTATTGTAGTCTGCATTTATGAGTAGAGTATGACTAAATGTTACAAAATTCACATTCTTAGAAGTGAAGGGCCACATCCAATCTAGAGGTCATCAGTTCAGACGAAAATAAAACACAATGACCCCAGAGGACCGCATTCTCTTCAGATGAGAGCACTTGTTTTCCCTTTAAAAACAGTAGGTGGGGTAAACAGCTCTTACAACTAAGATGCTCGGTGTAGGCTAAAATAATGTGTTTACCTCGTCAAAGGCAAGCTTGGTAATTGTGGCAAAACTTCCTATATTCCCAAGTTGAAAATATCAGTTATGATTGTGAGGGAGATATAGGGGAAATCAGAATGGAGATGGGGATTTGGGGATGGAGGAAGGGAAATCCCAGAGCCTATGGAACTGTATTGTAAAACAGTAAAATGAACAAAATTTTTAAAAAAGAAAATATCAGTTATGACATATTCCTTTTCAGTTAGCTCAGAATGCAACTATTATGGTTGCATATCTTTCATTATAAAAAGCAGAACAAATAACAAAAACAGCATGCAAAACCAAGTTTTATAGAGGTGGATATTTCATTTAGAGAGAAATAACTATTCTCAGAGAGGGCATCGATGGAAAGAAACTCAAACAACCATTCTAACAATAACATCTCATTCACACATTAGCTTGTGTTTTAAGACATATTTCAGTATGATATTCATACTTTACAAAATGAATATCACCTGCATTATATTGATTACCCTCAGAAAAATTCAAGGAAGAGCTTCTCTCATACAATATGTTGCCTCCATTTTACATACAAGACAACTGAGTCTGCAAACTTTAGTGATTGGCATAAATCCCCCAAAGTTGGGACATAAGTACAACTGCTGCCAATGTCAAGAGCAGTTGTAACTGCTGTGAAGACTAGTCTGTCCTTTATTTCAAGTAAGTGTCATATTTAAGTGGAGAGTGCACAGTACTGCTCATGATAAGAACATTGACTCTGGACACAGCTGATGAGATTTCAGTGTCAGGCTCTGTAACTTAGAGACAGTGCCACATTCGTCAACTTGGCTATCTTCGGGACTTTGCAATCACATGACTGATCTAGGTAAAAAAGAGTACAATGCAATATTGAGAAGGTTAAGAAAGGCGTACCTCATGATACTTTTTCACAGTTTTCCCTGAACTGCATCTGCAGGACTTCCAGTTGACAGTTCCACAGCCACAGTTTCCTCCACAGCGCTGCACAAGGAGGCATCGTGGGAAGAAGACCACATTGGTCAGCTTTAGCTCCTCTCTTAAATTGACAGAATAATTCCTGGGTGTGCAGCTGTATCGTTTGACGTCATCATTGAGCCTATCCAGGTCAACTGTAAGCAAAAGCACACACAGACATACTGTGTAAGCAAACACAATTCTGTAAACACAATTGCTCAGCACAAATTTCTGAGACAGGACTGGGAAAAGTCTCTGAGGACAACCTTAATGCAAATATTTTATCTGTCTTTAAGATATTAATTACTGGCTACCTAAGGTGGAAAATCTGATTTCTCTTTTGATCCTATCTGCCCGTAAGTCCACAGCATGTGAATGTGTGTGTGGGACCCACACCACAGAGGTTTGGAGGGGAGGACAAGAGTAGACAAGTTGGTCTGTTAGAATCTGTGGGGGCAATGTGACCTTACACCTGTGGAACTGCAATCTCTGCTGGCTCCTCCAAGAACTGAGGATGAGGTCAGACCTTGCTGGGGAGCTAAGCGGCCATTCCAGATAGGTTGGGGTTCCCACTGGTGAGACCAAGATTAGGATTGAGTGCAACAGGCATGGCTATACATAGCTACAGACTGCACTGGTATGGGTGTGCTTTGGGATGGTGCAGCAACAGATTGGGCTTAACTCTAGCCCCACTGGTACTTATGAGAGCCAGTTTGGGTACACAGCAGGTCAGACTAGGTCTTGAATCCTGCAGTACTATGTGAAAGCTGTGTCTGGGTACATACCAAGTAGTGCTAGGCTACACAAACAACAAGAACCAGAATGGTTGTGGCTGGCTGAGCAAGGCCTCTGTTCTCGCCAGGACTGGATGTGGACAAAGTCACCCTGGGCCAACGACCTACTGATGTGTGTGAGAACTGCCACTGGGAGGAGATTTGATGGAGGAGCTTGGGAAACTCCTTCATTGGGATGCAGTCCCTGAAGGTGTGTACAAGAAGCAAGGCAAGGATCATCCTAGACCATGTCAGGCTGCAGTACCCACCGACATACGAGTAGGTCAGGTGTGGGGACAGACTAATCCTGGCTAGCATGTAACACCCACTGGCAGATCTGAGAACCAGGGCAGGGGGCAGGAGGAGCCAGATCGGGCCACAACACCAGCCAATTCACATTAGGACCAGGACAGCAATTAGGCTGGGCTGGGATGGATTGCAATACCCAACAGCAGGAGCTGGATTAGGGGGCAGACTGGACTAGGTCCAGATGCTCAGTAAGACTGCAGAAGCTCAGGTGAGGCGAGTTATGCCAGCCTGAGCCAAGTGGGGGTCAGGTACGTAAATCCCAGGGACAGGGGATCTGACAGGGCTTGTGTAGATTGGCTCAGGTCATGGCGCCCATTTATGTGGTGGGGGGTGGGTTCCTGAGCCTTGGGAATAAGGGAACTGTTGGGGTGTGAGTCACTTGACCCAGATCCCGGGGCCCACCTTCTAGGTGGGTGTTGGTTTCATGAACCCTGGGGTGGGGAATCTGCTGGGGCTTGGGTCTCCTGGTCCACATTCCAGGACCCTCCTACTAAGTGGGTATTGAGTTTGTGAGCCCCAGGGGTGGGGGATGTGGAGATGCTTGGGAGACCCGGCCTAGCTTCTTGGACTCGCCAGCAATAACATGCCCTATTTAATGAAAAAGGTGGAGCAATATACACAGGCTCTGTTGTAAAAGGAGAATAAGGCAGCACATTTGGTGCTGCAGCAGAACAGAACTAACTGGACCACAACCTCAAACAAACAATGACAACAAATAATTTCGGTGAATGGAGCCAATGGACATGGGGTGGGTGACATCATCCTTGAAATTGGCAGCATTTCAGAACTATCCAAACCACTTGGACAGAAGTCTCAGAACACGTACACATTGAGACTCTGGGTTGATATGAGGTGGCAGTTCCTCATCCTTGGGTACTGGGATGTGTGGAAAGTTATGAGTGGTTTTCCCCTTTGCTTATCCCTTTACCCAAAGAACAGCAAGAAATAGCAAATTTGGAAGCAATGAATTCACCCAATTTTCTCTAAACCTTAATCCTTCCCTCCCCGATCAACCATGTATTCATTATTTTAAAAACAATAATACATACATTTTAAAAATAACCACAAAATGAATTCAACACAAAGCAAAAACTGTGACTAAAATTTGTCTTGGCTGACATTTCTTTACCTTTTTTTAATGCAAAAAAATTTTTTAAAAATCCGAGAAAATAAAATGAAACATGAAGTAATTTAAAATAATTGACAATGATCTTTAAAAATTAAAATAAATTTTTCTTTGATTATAATCAAATTGTAACTTTAAGTCATAACATAAATATAATTGTATATTGAGGACATGTTACAGACAACCACTTCAATATGCATATTTGGCAATGCAATTTTTCCAAGTTAATATGATGAAGAAAAAAGTTTTTGCCTCATTTTCACTTCAAAGCCAACAAAAATGTTAATGGATATGCTATTTTTGTTGATGTGAGCATGTGCATATTTGTACACTGGGCTCTATACTCGCTTCTTCACTGAACGTGAAAATATTTAAAAGTTTAAGCATGATGAGTTGGGCACTCAATTGATGTTGACCATTCTTCTTCATCTTCATCCTCTCACTCCCTTATTTTTCAAATCTGAATGGTCAAAATAAAAAATGAAAAGGTCTTTTCTCCTTTGTTTCTTTCTCTTGGCCATTATATTAGATAAATGTTTGTCAAAGTGTATGGTCAGTGTGACTTCAATGAATTCTTTTGTAACAAAAGGGATGCAAATGGAAACCATTATGCTTAATGAAATAAAGCAATCCCGAAAAGATAAATCCTTATGTTTCCCCTGATCTGTGGTAATTAATACATACAGTACAAAAAATACAATCTGTGTGAACAAAACTGACATTTTGAGATTTGATTTGATTATTAATTTTAGCCTCTGCCTGTATTTTTGAGGAACAATGTTTTTTTTTTTGTCTATTTGTTATTTGTTCCATCTTAACACTCAATGTAGTGTTGAGTCTATGATCATAAATTGGAATATAATCTAAAAAATCTAAAAAAAAAAACAAGGAAGGGGGAGGTGAGGTGGGAATGTGAATAGATGTTAGGGTAGGTGGGAAATATCACCATCTTCCTAAATCTGTTGTGAGATAGATGAACTCAGTTCATCATATATAAATCAAATCATTGAAATAAAAGGGCACTATACTATTTTGAATTAAACTTACTGCTATATAAATTATGTTTTTTTAAAAGGCTTGTTTTACTTATTTGAAAGGCAGAGCTCAACGAGAGAGAGGAAAGAAAAACAGATCTATAATCTACTGGTTCATTCTGCAAATGGCTGCAACAAGTCAGGGCAGGGACAGGTTGAAGTCACAGCCAGAGCCTTCTTCTAGATCTCCCATTGGGTACAGGGTCCCATGGTTTGGGGCCATCCTCTGCTGTCTTTCCTAGGTTCTATAGCAGGGAGCTGGACTGGATATGGAGCAGCCAGACATAAATCAGCACCGGTACAGAGTGTTGGTGTGGTAGGTGGTGGCTTTACCTACTAAGCTATAAAAACATAACGTATGAAAAGAAAATTTAACACATTACATTTATTCAGTGTTCTCGACATCCATCCAATCACTTATTTCACATCTGAATTCTATGGTTGGTGTGCACATTCATGAATATCATCTCACATGAATGTGGTCAGAATAAAGCCCTTCTGTATGCATCACTTTTACTTTCCTCTGCACTGGGTACCCTTTAGGCCACCACAGGAGAAGTACCAAAGTTTAGACACGTACCACCTATTTACTCTAGACTACAGAACTAAAAAGTGCCTTACTTAAAAAAAAAAAAAAAAAAAAGGAGTGTTGAGGAACGGTCTTTGGGAGTAGAGGTCGAAGGTCAAACATAGTGTGTCTTGCCCTGTGAGCCTTTTGTGAGGTGCAGCTGCACTTTAATTCTCAAGGGCAGTGATTTATTATCAACAGTTGCATGCTGAGCCCAGGATGTGTCGGAGACTGCATGAATGCTAAATAATCACTGTGCATAACTTATTGCTGTTTTTTTCTTCCTCTGTAAAGTCATGTCATAAGTTGAGCTATAATCAATCCAGATTTAAATTGAATAAACTCTGTCTTGGGAAAGGAACCATTTTATTGCTGCTAAAGCCAGAAAATAACTGCAAGCAAAGCAGGAAGGATTACATAAATGGATTAAGAAGCACAGCAATCATCCATTACAAGTGTCACCTTGAGATAAATACTGATGCTGGTCGATGCATTACTGGGCTTGTGGGCAGTGCTGATGCAGAGCGCCAAGTCTGCTCCCTGTGATAATGGGACTGCATTTGTCTAACATGGAGGAGTAGAGATGCAATTAGCAGGAAGAGACCATGAAAGAGGCAATGGTGGAAAGACAAAGCAAGGAAGTAACCATACTTAGTCACTATTTTGCTTCAGCCCTCTGCTAGGCATCTTGCACACATGACTGCCTTGGGCTGTTCCCTATCATTTTGAGCTGAATATTAACAATCCAAGCTGAATAGTAAAATGGTAAAACTACAGCTGAGAGTACAACATTCTATTGTCAAGATATAGTTAACAGTTTCATTGGGAGTCCATCTTTGATCTGGATGTAGAGATGCATACTGCATTTTATCCTCACATCTGGCTATGACAGTCTCCATTATGCAGTTACTATACAACCCCTTGAATGAAAAGCCACAAAATAAAATTGACAACAGGAAGAATAAAAATGAACAACACCATGAAATTAAATAACATGCTACTGAATGGACTAATTGTCCATGCCAGCAATAATGGACATATGACTGTGCATGAAGAACTATACTATAGTAATGATATAGGGGAACTCAGTGAGGGGGAAGGAATTGGGGAGGAGATAAGGGAAATCCCAGGGCCTATGGAACTGTATCATAAAATGATAATAATAATAATAAGTAAAAGTAAAACAAAACAAAACAGAATTGCAGGTGAAGGTTTGTTTTTTTTTCATTTGTGTGCACAGGCTCTACACTTCAGGCAGAGGGAAGACAGGTGACCCTAATTGCATGGAGAAGACCAATGCTTCCAGGGCTGTATCTGGCTTTACTGTAGAATGCTGAACTGGAGT